AATTATATTTAACAATATCGTTAGTTAAGCCGTAATGCTTTAATTAAATATATTATAAAAGCTTATTATAAAATTGTCGTTTCGTTTTTTGTTAACGTTTTAAAATCGGCTAAAAACTAAGCTATTAAACGTAAATTGTTTAAAAATCGATTTAAAAACGTTTTTTAATTATTAATAATATATATAAACTTTTATAATAAATTTTATAAACGTTTTACCGGCGGCGATACCGTTTTTATTACGTTTTATAAAACGCGCGCTGTTATTAAAGATAAAACTTTTATTTTATTGTTTTATATTATAAACAGCCGAAAAATAAACTGCGTATATATTTTATTATAAAATTATTTTTAAAACGTTTTATTAATAATATTTAACTAAATATCCTTAAAATAAAAACTAATATTAATTTAATTAATAATAAATATTATTTTATTTATATAACTTAAAACGTTTATAAACGTAATAAGTTTTATTCAATTTTAATACAGTTTTTTTATATATAATAACTTAATAATAATATTTAGTCTATTTTTTTTCACCGGTTTTAATAAAACCTATATAATATAATTAAGCTATCGCCATTTTAAAACGTTTATTAAAAAAAATCTATTCGGTACGTATTATTACGTTATAAAAATTGTTTTTAAAACGTTTTACCGGTAATTAACGTATATATTATATAAAATTTAACGAACGTCCTATTTTAATATTTCGTCGGTTTTGTCTAAACGTTTTTTGTGTTTTTTTTTTAAAAAAATAAACTAAATTATATATACGTTTGTTTTTAAAAATATATATATTCGTTTTTAATTAATTCGATTAAGAGTTAAAAATTGTTTTAAACATTTTTTTAAAAACATAAAAAAAAGCCTTTTTTTTAAATACTATTAATAAATAATCTATTTTATTGTTTTTTTAACAATTAATAAAATCAGTTTTTACAAATAATTTAAAACGTTTTTAAATAGTTTTTTAATTAAATTTATATTTTTTTATTTGATTATTGCCGCCGAAATTAACACTTACGCTTAAACTTTTTACGTTTTAATTACAATTAATGCTTTAATAATCTATTTTTTTTCCGTTATTTTGTTTAAAACTTTTTCTTTTTTTTATTAAGCGCTTTTTATTTTTTTTAAGCCGTACCCGTTACTTTTTATAAACTATTTCGTTATATTAAACATTAATCTAGTTTTAAACAATTTAACGATATAACGTTTATATTTATTAAACGGGCGTCCGTTTTTAAAAACTTTAGCTTTGCGATTATATAAACATACTAAACGATAAAATATTCTTTTCGCGATTAAATGCAAAATCTTTATTAATATTTTAACTATTAAAACAATCTATATATAAAGCGTTATTTATAGTATTATTAACCGACGACGTACGAGATTGTTTTAATATTTAAAATATTAAAATAGCAATTTATTAATGTTTAATATATAATGTTTTTTTAATCGACGGCTATACCTTTTTTAAAATACGTTTTCGCTTTAAAATAATATTAGCACTTTATGTTTTAAACAATAAAAACTTTTATATACTATATATTTAAAGCTAAATTTTGTATCGTTTTTATATTAACGTGTTTTTATAAAACGTATTAATTTAACGTATACGTAACGAATTATTTTTTATAAAAAAATTTTATTTTTATTTTTTAATAGTATTAATTATTTATTAGATTAAAAAATATAAGCTAAATTAATAGTATAATAAAGCGTATATAATTTTAATAGTATTAGTATTTTTTAGAATAAAATCTTAATTTTTTAGCGCAATTTTTAATTTACTACGGTAAAACCTCGACGTAATATACGGTCGCTTTTTAAACTTTGCTTATTTATTATAGTTAAAATAGTTTACTATATATTAAATTAGTTTGCGTAAACATTTTAAAAACGTTTTTTAATCGTTTTTAAACCGTTGTTATAATAATATATTAATAATAATATTATATATTTTCTCGTAGTCCTTCGGCTTTACCGTATATATTAAAAATATAAATATATTATATACTAATTTTATATTTTTTTTATAGTTTTTGCTTAGTATTTTCTCGACGTTTTATTTAAAATAAACTTAATAAAATTTAATTATTAACGTTAAATAATATTTAAATATTTTAGTAAAATCGAATTTCTTTTATAAATATCGGCTAAAGCCGTCGATAATAATAATACTTTAATTTAAAGTAATATTAAATAGCCTTAAGCCGTATACGTATTTCTATTTAATGTTAACGGCGTATTTGTTTTTAAAAATATAGAAAACTTGTCGGAATATATAGTAATATATTTCGGTCGTTTCGAAGTTTATAAAATATCGTACAAAAAGTGTCGCTAAAATAAATTAAAAACGATTTCGATACGTTTTATAATATATAACATATTTTGTTATATATTTTTTAAGAACTATATCCAAATAATTTCAGAGTAATATAAACTTTTAGTATATTTATAATTAACGTCGACTATAAATATTTTAAAATCGTTTAAGTTTTATAACTTCGTTTATTTATAATAAAAACAAATAATAATATAATTTATATACGTTATATATATGTATTAAATATACTACGATTAATTAATTAATAAAAAAATATCGTAGGATATACCGTTAATTTTATTTATATATTTTTTATTGTTCTGTTTATTAAATTGTAATAAAAAGAATATAATTCCGAAGCCGCTTTTAAAAAAAAGCAAAATTTACTGCTTGCGGATAATATACCGAAAATAGTCCGTATTCGCTAGGCTGGCATAAATATCCATAATAAAACGCTTTTTATGCTTTTTTAAAAACTCTTTTAACTTATTTAAAATTAAAAAGCCATTTAAAAAGATTAGTTTAAATTTTAGAATTGTTTTAAAAAAATCATACTTAAAATTGTGTTTAATTTATTAATTTACCGGACAATCCGTATAATTAATACAGTAACCGATTATAAGGTCTTTTTCAATAAAAATAAAAAATATTTATATTTACTATACGTAATTATTAAAATAAAAAGCGTTATTTTATATTATATAAAAATAAAAAATCTTAATATAATATAATATTTAACCTAAATAATTTTTAGAACATTATTAAAATAAAGTTTAGCTATTATTTTTTATTAATAATATTTATAACAATAAATATTAAATCTTATTATATATTTTTCGTTATTTGTTATTTTTAGCTTAATTAAAGCATTTTTGCTTTTAAGTATTATTTAAACAATAGTTTTCGTTTTTAATAAATTTTTTTTAATATATTTATATATAAATAAAAACGTAACGGTATCGTATTATAAAAATATGTTTTTTATTTAAAACATATTTTTAATATAAAATAATAAAAACTTTATTATTATATATTACTAATAAACTAAAAACAAGTTAATATTTTTAAAACTTATAACTAAAAAATATCGTATTATTTACGTTATAGTTATTTTTAATTAAAAAAAGTTAGTAATTATTTCGTTAAATCCTATATACTTTCTTGTTTCGAAATCGCGCGTACGTAGTTTTAAAAAAATTGCAATATATTACGTATTAATCGAAATCGTTTTAAAATCGTTTTTAAAATATAAAACGTATTTTAAAGCCTTTTTCCGTATATTTTCCTTTATTAATCGTACTTGCAAATTGATTATTTTTTACTCGAAATTATACGTAATTTTCGTATAAGTAAATAATTTAATAAATACGTAAAAATAACCTTTGCTTTCGGTATATTAAATTATATAGCGCATTATAAATATATCTTTAAACAATATAATTATAATTTAAAAAACTGGCTACAGTATTTTTATATAATATTAAATCTATAAAAATAAATTAATAAGTTTAATCTATTTATTTAATAAACTTATTATATTTTATAGCTTGTTAATTTTTAATTTTTTAAATATTTTAATAAAAATAATAAAAGCATATCCGTTAATTAACGTAAACAAATATTCGGAAATACTAATAAAACAATAAATCTGCTTAACCTTAAGTTTTTTATTTTCCGCATTCTATTAACCATATTTTTAAAATATATTATAAACAAGAATTCGCTATAGTTTGTTATATATTCCTGTTTATATCAAAATGTTATTAAAAACAATTATATTAATATAAATAACTGCTTATTTAATCGATTTTAAATCGTTAAACAATAACTTGCTATATTTTTTTAGACAAATATTGTTTAAAAATAATGTTATTTTTAATACGTTTAATTAAATTATTTAAAATGTTATTAATATTTTAATTTTTTTTTATACTTAAAAAAATATTTCGGTTTTAAACTTCGTTAACATAAATATTTGCTATTATTACAATTTAAATCTTTTAAATAAACAACGTAATATAATAATTATATAAAAAACATAAAATAATATCCGAATTATTTCGGAATTATTTCTATTTTATATTATTTTATTATTTATTTATTCGGCTATATTATTTATTTATTATATACTATTTTTTATCTATTAGGCATTAATACGTTTATTTTCTTTAATAATTTAAATACGTATACTACTTTATAATTAATAACGTATTATAGATATAATACTATGTATATTTATCTCTATAATTAAGTAGCGCTTAGGCCGCAGTATTTCTGCGTAGCGTTGGGTCGGGCGCAGAAAGTGGAGGAATCCTCAGGTGACTAGGGGGGGGGAATCCTCAAGTCATTATATCCGTCGCCATCTAGGTGCGCCACCGCCCTTAATGTCTCGCGACCGGGACTGATTGGTTTCAGGCACAACATCCTCATACCGCAGGATCATGAGCATGCACCGAGATCAGCCTCGATGCATCCACTTTTAGTGTGACATTTCCTGTTCAAGCAACAGCAATCGAGGCCAACCGTTCGGAGCAGACAAACAGCAAGCTACTGCGCCCCGGCGTACGTTTGTAAAGCTTGTTTTTTGATCCATGTGAGGCAGGCGATAGGAAAGATGTATTTCAAGGGGAAAGAAGAAAAATCGACAACAAAAGTAAAAGAAATGGTCCACATGAGGGTCGAACTCATGACCTTCGCATCACCGATAATCCATGGCTTGAGAGAATCCATCGTTGAAGAATTCACCGTTGGAGTATTAGTACGACGCTCTAACCAACTGAGCTAGCAGACCAGTTTGATGTAAAAACGCGCGAATTATCTGGGTCTATGAGCCTAGTGCTGACTTGACTATGACAGCATCAAGATCTTATCGATAGGTCTATTTTGTCCAGCGTTGTGCGATCTGCGTCTAATTGGTCAGACTAATTGCTTCGTGGTTCTGCAGCTATATGGAGCATTGTCTCCAAGCACTCAGGGGTGTAGTGACTATTATGTATTAGCAACCGGATCATGCGTAAATTTGTTATATAATCCTATTTCAACAATAAGCTTCCCAAGTTCGACTAGGTAGCAGGTTTCTCGCCGTAGTTTTTCCCGTTGTTCACGAGGGCCCATCCGCATCTCATCATCCAGAACAGAGCGTACAGCGGTGTCGTCAACAAACCGAGACTCGCACCAAGAATGGCTTTGAAGATCATTGGCTTCCAGTTCTCAACACCGGGTCGCAATGCGGCTGTATATACCCAGTCTTTGCCGCTTGGTGTCCCGACCAATGCCAGAAACCCAATGACGGGACCAACGAATAGGGCAAATGAGATGACTGAGACAATGAAGCCTCTGAAGGCCTGCCAGAACACGAATTCTATCCATCGGAACACTAAGTGACGCCGCGGTTGGGCATTGTCACGGTCCAGAAACAAGAACCATCGTACTAAAGGATTCGAGGGTTCCGAGTAACCACCGACGGGCTGAATGGCCCCGTTCTTGAGATCGAGATTCACCAGGATGAGCTCTATCAGCCAAGTGATGATGCACTGGAGAATAATGGTCACCACCGCATCGCCCAGTAATGGGTTTGGAAACTGGAATAGGTGGATCGACTCCTTGGTAGTTGCATATAAGCCTACTATATGTTAATAAGAAGACAACGACGAAATATCTCTGTTATGTCTTACCGACAGCGATAGCAAAGTTTATGGCACCTGACAAAATGGCCGCACCCACACTATGAGGACCAAGGATATAGAGGAGCTGCCGCGTAGTGAGATAGTCACTCGGCTCTTGAAAACTCTTGTGTATGCCGTCCAGAATTACCTGGCGGGGCGATGCCTCGGGATCGGCAGCGGGAGACAGACGGGAGGCGAGAGAGGGCTTTTCGGTTCGAGCCATGCTGTCCGGTGTTACCGGCTTGCCTGCCGCGTCTCAGGTATTCTTCTAGAAATGTATATAGCGCTTTCGAGGAAACATGACAAGGACCGGGTTGGACAAAGAGTTCTTCAGCAATGAGAGCAAGGAGGTATTTCACACAAAGATCGAACCGGCGAGTCGGGAAGTCGCTTTTCTCAGTTGGCCAGCGATTGGTAACGCCCGTGACGAGAATTTGGCTTAATTGTCATTGCCAGGCGCGGATCTAGCGTACACACGTCCCGAGCATCCCGGTCCACTAAGAAGGCTTAACCTGGTCTGCCCGCATGCCGGTGCCTGGGTGTCAGGCCCTGTCTTTTCGCAATGGATACCACCAGCACTCCATATCTTATCGAGCTTGTTGTGTATGCTATTGCGATTTCGGTAACGTACCAGGCTGCTCGTTGCCACGATACTCGGAAATCGGAGTGAGAAGGTGATGAATCGGAGATTTTGGGGCACGACCACTTCCGTGTTGGGCCGGTGGATCGTGCCCCGTCATGCAGGGTCCTGGTCATCAGATTTGGAAATTACTATGGGGGTGTGCTCAATTAGTAAGGGGCAATAGCGAATACGCAACGCGACACCGTTGGGTCGTTACCGCCCGACACTATCGTGACTTGTGTGGTCATGGTGTCTTTGAGAAACAAATGTATAACAGCTTGGAGAGTAGACTAGTGACGCTTCTCATTTCCTGGACAGAATCGAAACGCTTATGAAGACATTCAGCTACGATCCAATGCACTCGTAATAGGTCCCGCTGTCACGCCATCCATGTGCATTCAATCGGCGCTGTGATCGGCTTCAGGTTGACCGTTGGACACATCTGATGCTCTACGTATAGCTTCGTCATTGTTACCTGGAGTTCTGGTTCCTCCCGCTAATACCACGCAGTTTCTACCCCACTCCACTGGCCACACAAATGCCTACATGGACGAATGACCGTCGCATTTCCAACATCGAGAGTCGGCGTTGCTCCCCTATTGCTAGGCAGGCTACACGGTGACAGGTGTGTACCATTCGACTGGCCTTCTGCTCCACGTTGGCACACCTGCCCTACTTTACTAAGTGGCGTGTAAGTATGAAGATGTGGTCTCTTAGCTATGCTGAGCTTTCGCAAAGCGCTGGATGGATACACATGCAAACACTGATTCAGAGGCTGTACTTCATGCCATTCGGCTATTCGGTAACGACTGTATATTGATCGAAGGCATTGTATGCTTTGTTTGAAGGGTTGATCTGCAATCGATACCAACACCGCAAACAGCCCCGTTTCTACCCTGATGTAGCTTCACATATATTATTAGTAGCTTTTCTGTCCTCCTCCCGGCGATGTCGACACTACCGGCACCTCCGGGCTTACTTAGCAATCCCTATCTGTCATTCTTAGAATTAACCACGGGTTGCCTTCTATATCGTTCCGTCAAGCACCACATTCAGATAACCAACCCAGAAAAAGGAAAGAAAGAAAGAAGAAAAAAATCAGCAACGCAAGAGTACAGGCCATTTCAACCATACTTGCAGTTGGATCCAGAACTCTTCTTTCCTTTAAGCCGAACTCTTCTCGGTGACCTCAGTGCCTCGCTAGGTATAGAAGCCTCAATAGTTAGCCCTTTATTTTTCGGCGATTGAAAGTCAACAGTGAGAACAGATGAGAAGCTTTCGTCCACCTCACAGAAGTGTTTGGGGTGAATAAACTCCTTTGCCCAGGACATTCTCCATTGTTGTCAAGTTTCAACTCATCAGCAGGCAATTTTGGACTCAATTACACGCTGGGCATCCTTTAGCACATTCTGTGCACTTGATTGGCCCGAGCAAGGCTTGAGCCGAGCTTCTCTGACGCTCACTCACTTCTGACTCAGGATCTTCTGATGGCAGTATACTTCGCGTAGGAATATTGGTGCGTGGCATGCAGGAAATACTAGAATAGCGTTGCTTTCCTTTGCATTTGGAGGACAGTAGCTTAGATGCCTGATCGGTACCGCGTATACCACGAAACTTGGTCTTCAAACACAACCCTATTATAGATATACCTCTTTTCATGTAATTCTAGTCATATACTGGTTGCGTAGATAGTGTGTATAGGTTGGATCTATTTCAGAAATTTGAGACGTAAGATCATTTGATATTATGTGCGGTCCGCCGTTACCTTTTGGAACGTTGTTGCAGCTTTATTAATATGCTGGTTCAGCGCACAAGCTGATCATTTGATAAGGGGGCATTGGATTACCTATCCATTCCACTCATGTACCAGGGTTGGCAGAATATCACCGTCGCTCTATTTTCATTGTACTCTATGTCAGCCTATTTCCAGCCGCGAGGAGACATGACAGTGTGGTTGCGTTTGCACCACATCTTGTGTCACCTAGTGTGGGTTGATTCGGTGTCTATAGGGATCAGAGCCTGCTAGGCAACTCGAGCCTTTTGCCTATATACCTCCTACTGAATAGTCTTATACCTTAGGTAAGCTAGTTAGTGCAGCGGCAGGACTTTCTTTCTAGTGGTCGATTCACATAAGGGGTTGCAAAATCGCAAGTTTATTTGTTTGACCCTTGCCGCCAATGCCCATCTGCAGAAATATTTAAAGGCGGTGCGAATCGCCCGGTGGAAGATACCTCCCCAAAGATGTTAGCAATTAAGTTATCATGGCGGCCTTCTAGAAATAGCCCCATATGTAACACATTCAGAGCTATTCAGTCGCAAGTACTGACAAGAGCGTTCGGTTTCTTACGTGCCGCATGCTGTGCCACCCGAGATGAATTCGGTGTATATCAGTCCTAGGACGCGTTTTGCCTGCAAATATCGAGCCTTTGACTTGTAGACCCAGTTTCCTGCACCTATCTGGCGCAGTGGTAGAATTCTCTAATAATGACCTCGCATTATTAAGTTGTCTCGCCTTTCCATTATATCTGTGACGACCATTTTACGTCCTGAGGATATCATGTTGCAGGGCAGTTCTCGATCGGCCATTGACCATTGACTAGCAGGTAGATGTTCAGCATAGATCTGCCACTGCAGGCACTGCAATATTTCCATCTTCTCAAGATCATCAACATCCAAATTTTACGCGCGGACGTTCATAGCTTTATGGATACTTCTTCAAACTCCACAGCCTATTCGGCTCATGGCTATCCTGTTCATCTTGGGTTATGGATCAACTGGACTCACGGGCCGATCTTGGGCGCGAGTTTGACCACCACTCGCCAAAACGCCGCTTTGCTCGTTGCATTTACAAGCACTTACATCGGCTTCGTGGCAACCCGAGTTTGGAGAATCCTGTGTTTCATTCTCCATAGACTTTACTCTGTAGCCACACCTCAGAATGCCGGATATCACCGAATTCAGGCAATTCTATGCAATGCCTCGGCCCCTGAAGATGGAGCACGACTGGCTTTGAAGTTGCTTTCAACGCGACCGAAAACTCATCATCGTCGCATCATATTCGTCGGTTTCACTGCGATTGCGTTGGTTGCGTCTTTCACAGCGTTGGGCGGCTTCTCATCTCGTATAGCTCTTGACGATAACGATGTGCTCATCGAAAGTGCTAACTGCGGCTTTGTATATGGAGGAACCGAGGTCAATTGGCAAGATTATTTTGCAGAAACCGAGTGGCTGGCGAAAAAGGTCAACAACGCAGCTAACTATGCCCAGCAATGTTATTCAAGCAGCTCAAGCTCAAGTCAGTTTGACTGTGACACCTTCGCTGCTCCACGGATTGATAGTCGCGTAGAACTCAACGCGCCCTGCCCCTTCGACAGCACTCTCTGCCTTACTGATGAAGCCAATATTCGTATCGACAGCGGATACGTCGATAGCCATACGTATCTTGGGTTGAACGCCCCTCTTCACAAGCGAGTGTTTTGGAGAAACGTACTCCATTGTGTCCCT